TTGTTCAGAAAATATGTTCCATCCCTGATCATGAAGATGTAAGTAAAATGTTTTACACTTTGGAGAGTAAATCCTTTTTGGATGGTTTTTTCTTTGGTCAGTGTTCAGAATTTATAAAGGCATATCTGCCTGGAATTTAAATATGGAGCCCAGAAGTATAGTTTGATGTTGGAAAAGTACCGGAAACATTTCATTCTCTGGCAGGACCATCTTGGGGATTGGTAAGAACATGAGGTTATCCTTTTCCAAAGTTATTTGACATAAGGTCTCCCCATCCATAATATTTTGACATGGGTTAATTGCCAACTTCACCTATTAAGAGAAAGATGGGTACTCCTCAACTTATGATCACATTTCTGACCAGCATTTTTGTTGCTAAGTGAGAAATTTGTTAAGAGAGTTTTGCCCCTTTTATAATCTTTTTCGCTACAGTGGTTAAGTGTAATCATTACAGTTGTTAAATTAGTAACGTGGTTGTTAAACGAATCTGGCTTCTATCGACTTTGCTTGTCAGAAAGTCACAAAAGCTGATCACATGACTCTGGGATACTGCAACCGTCATAAATGCGATCTGGCCGCTAAGCCTATGAATTTTGATCATATGACCATGAGAATGCTGCAAAAGTCGTAAGTATGAAAAATGGTCATAAATCAATTTTTTCAGTGTCTTTGTAAATTTGAATGGTCACTAAACTAACTGTTGTAAGGACTACCAGTAGAGCAAAGATTGTACAATTTTCTTATAAAAGAATGAAGTGCCATCTCAGTTTATTTTTATTCAAAGGTCATCAGTGACTGTGGTTAAAATTATCTGATTTGACCCAGTAAATAAGTTCCATCAGAATTATCCCAGGAAGAAAACTGAATGCCAAGCAGCTGAGGAAATGCAATACAAAAAATAGTTATTTGTTGGTTTTCAATGGGTAAATGATTAAAATCCAACAGAACAAAATTAAGTTATTGTCAATTAGCAGGATTTCCTTCTGATACTTCAGGCTCATCGTTATTTTTGAAATGCCCACATTAATGCACTCATTGATACTTTAGTCACACTAAAAATTGGCCAACATGAAATAGTTTGGATTGAAATGACTATCGTAGCTGTCTTTGAGAAGATTTTGCTGCTCTCCAACAATTGCTCTAAATAGGTGTAATTCACTGAATGCTTATATTCCAGTAAATATCAGTTGGATCAACTGCAGTGGATATAATTTTAGATCAGTACCTGGATCAGTAAATATACTATCTAACCAAGAAGGGTTACAATTTATTTATAAACATTTTTATGATAACTTCAGACTGAATTGTAAAGTAAAATTATCCCCCCAAAATCAACAATCAAAGCATCTTTATTTTTTAAATTATTTTATGAATGTATGTAAAGAGTCATTTATGTCTGTCTGTCTGTCTGTCTGTCTGTTTTAAATCTTAAACCAAACTTTCTAAAATTTGGCATGGTGTGAGATGGGAACGAAAGAAACACAAAACTGAAAACGAGCCAGTTTCAGCCAAAGGCTTCAGAGACAAAATAATAATAATCCTCCCATGGGATATGCATTTGGGCATTGGTTCAGAAGGTTGCCAACACTAAACTTTTAGCTTCCTTTTTTCCATCATGTAATCCGGAATGATGCTATTTGTGAGGGGTTAGAAAGAACTTCAAAAGCCCTGTTCTGCGTGCTGCCCCTATCTTATTAATACCTCCAATCAGCAAAGTAATATATAATCGCCCAATTACACCTTACCCAAGGTCCAACATAATCCATGGCAGTTGCAGCAGCCCCATGTACAGGGAAAGCTTCACAGTGTAAAATAAAATCCTTCCTTGATTGAACGAAGGAGGAGGGCTGGCTGTGACAACAGAGAAAATGAAACTTCATTTCCCTGAAGTGACTTGGCATTAGGCTCAGGCATAATATGGTTTCTTTGGTTTCAATTTAATATGATGTACACACCTAGCCATTGTGATTAATAAGCCTATAATATATAGGTAAATGTTCTGTATAAAAAAGACCATTATGACAGTTAACAAATCACAGTTTAAGTAACCATTGTGGAAAACAGTGTTTAAACACTCAATAGTCAGGGAACAAAATATTCCCTCAGTATATGTTTCCATGCAATAAAATGGGACTTTACTAGATATTAAATTCATTTGTCTGTATGTATTCATTTTTTTTTTACTTTAGCAAAGCAATCAAAAACAATATAAGATTTTGGCCAATCAAAATATTTGTAAAATTGTTTAAGTGAGAGAAAAAGTGGTGTTTGAAAAGTTGGTAGATTTTCAACAATGGAGATTATGGGAAGAACGGAACATAATATTACAAAAAATATTCTTTTATTTACCACCTATACCAAAGCTATACCACAATTTACAAAGTGTACGCTAATCAAATTGCCATTACTTGTGTTATTTGACATTGTCTTGCTCTTTGTTGATTTCTTGACTTTGTTGATAAAGCGATTTTGAATCGTTTCTGACTGCCTATGATTTCAAGTCATTAGTATGCAATTCACGTCTATGCTTTTTCTGCATATAAGCTTATTTTTGCTAAGTTTCTGAATTTCTCTCTTTATTAACATTGAAAGAAAGCTTATAAGAACAGGATTTTTTTTTACTTCATTGGGTACATTTCCTGCTAATATAGACAATAGGATTCAATTGATACAGACTAGTTACCTATCATTTTGATGTACAATATTATAACATGAAATACTTTCATCTTCTGAATGTCAATATAACTTACTTCCAACTATAATAAAGTTGTATAGGATTGCTGCCTAATTTGCATTTCTTTAGATTAGTTGAATATGATAAAATCAATTTTAAATATGTTCATTTTGCAATTTTAAATACGTATGTTAAAATCCCAATTTTACAATGAACCCTATGTCTGAACTTTAATTTATTTCTAGTCTGATTAAATCTAGAGCTTGGGAAATGTTTAATAGTTTTAGACTTTATTACCAAATAAAATAGGTCTTGTTTTGGTTGTCCTGCGCTTGTCTTTCTTGTGTCCTTCTAAATTCTCCTTGAGAAGCCTTGATTTCATGGGATATTAACAAAGGGCTTTTGCTTGTTATTTTAAAGAAGAATATAATGCATCTTCTGTAGAAAAAAAATCTGTCCAATTATTATGCTTTTGCTAGTAAAAGGAATAACTGATGAGCATCATGTATCCTGAAACGTATCCTTTAATTTGTCTGTAAGCACTATCCCGCAACACAATAACAGCACTTTAACATACTTTGTTGTACAAAATAGTAAAAAGTGCAGATACTTGAAATTGGCTTTGATTCTGGACAACATGTTTCTGCTTTGAGCCATCCACTTGCTTCTTGCCTTACCCACATGTGACTCAAGCATATTTCACAAGATATGTGTGCAACTCTTGATCTTGTGATCTGGTTCCCTTTGAATATTGGATATAGAATTCACTGGTTGCAAACTGTTAAGCAGAAGGCTATTTTCAGAAAGAACTATTTAATTAATTAATTATTTCACTGTTTAAAAAATGGGGGTATAATTTAAAAAAACGTTTAACTCTCCAGTTTAAGTAATGCTTAAATCTCCACATTGCATCAATATGTTGCATAAGTTGGACAACCAGTCCCCAAAATATGGTGCTTGCACTGGAACGTTAAAAAGCCATGAAAAAAATAAAATATATAAAATGTTATAGCGTCATATATGAACATATTTTTCTACATTACCACTGAGGATGTATTCATCTGGCCACAATAAAACTATTATCATATATTATTTGTTTTATATGAATCATTGGAATATTTTTAAAAATTGCCATTTTAAACAAATAACTTAGCATTATTGCCTACATTAAATACTGAAGTTACATGCTTGCATGTGTCACAGTCCTCTGACCACAATCCTAATCTATTAAAATCAATAGTTTTTGGTCAGAGTGAGTGAAAAATTGCTTTGCTAATGTGTTTCATGATGTGGTTTATCTCCAGGACTGAAGCATCATTCTTAAAGCCATTAAACTCCATGGTGCTTACCTCTAAATAGGCATGGATGTGAATGCACGAAAAGTAAGGGGACATATGCCCTTATACTAAGCTAAAGTAATTATCTTCAGAAACCAACAAAGCCGATTCTTCATCTTTATTCATGTACACCAATAAAATTGAATATCAGAACCACACTTCTGTCAAGGATTTTTATCTAATGGTCTTGAACAAGTTACAGATTCCGTAAAATGATTCTAAATGGGATTCATAATAAATAGTTGAAGGAGTGTCATAGAGATGAATGCAGGAAAAATCATACACCACACCATAGACTGACAAGTTTTCTACAAATATTTAATCACTAACATTCAAACATAGATACGTTTATTTTACTACATATATTTTATTTTATTTTATATCAGGCAATGTTAAATGTACCATGGCTTACTTACTCAAGTTTCTAAAGGTCTAATATATTATAATTTCTTTTGGTGCTTCTCAGAAGAATTTGTCTTGCCTGGTATTCCAGATAAAAGTGAAACATGGGACATGTAGGACAAGAGACTGTTTGTTCTCATATTCTTCAAACTCTTATGTTATGGGATTGAATAGGTAAGCTGAATATATTGCACATGAAGAAATTAGTTTGATCATGTGCAAGTCCTATCAACTAATTCTCATTCATTGTAAATAACTCCCACATTCTGAGCCACTAATACATAAATGTAAGTGGAAGCAAAGACCTCCCTCAAGTCAAGGAGCAAAATTCCGAAATCCAGTGAAATTATTTTGGTACCTGATGCAGACAGTGGTGTAAGTCATTCTGTCTTTCTGCTGCAACCATAACAAATTACATTTTTGTCATTTCTTTTTCTTTTTCTCATCCTTTATCAAATCTGCATCCTGGTTCCTTATGGTAGTGTAGCCCATAAAGGAGGGAGAGGCAGAGGGGGAGGGGAGAGAGGATGTGGGAGAGAAGAGAGCAAGAAGAGAGGGGAGAGGGGGAGAGGATGAGGGACAGGAGGGAGAGGGGGGAGGGAGAAGGGAGAGGGGAGAGAGTAGAAGGAGAGTGGAAAGAGAGAGGTTAGCCTGTGAATTGACTTGAGGATGTATATCATTCCTGCCTTTAGCAGTTCCCGACCTTTGATTTAAACTTAATGTAAACTTAGTCTAAACTTTCCTAGGAATACTTTTGTAAAACTATCACAAGATCTTGTAATCTTCTCAACTCCATCTTCAGCACCTGCTTTTCTGTGAGGATCAGTGCCAAGGAAAATATCAGGTTGAAACTTTAGGGCATAACCATCTTAAAAAGAAAAGAAAACAACAATTAATGTAACTATGAAAAAAAATAAAACATATGGTTATAGGTGTATTTTTAAAAAATAAATAAAGTTTGAACCTGCATTAATTATTCTATAGGGTAACAGGGTTGCAACTATTATCAGTTCTAACACCAGCAGATAACAGTAAGTCTGAAGGAATCCAGACATTCACCAGAGCTGTTGGCTTGTTTTATTTGCAAGAGTAGATGTGGTTGAGGGGGGGCTCCCCTCCCTTTCTGTTTGCCATAGTTATAGGTTCAAATTTCTTTATTCTGCCTAAACTGGAAGTGAGTTAACAGACCAAATGAAAGCTAAATGGTCAAAACGAATAATTTATTTTTAAGAAAGAGACAGGCTATCTAAGAATTGTTTCCCTTTCCAGTGTCATCACAACCCCTAGGATCTCATCCTGCCCCAGATCCTGTTTATTTGACAATCCAATCCTGTGATCAGAAGCCCTTGGAAAGATGATGCATAATACCACCCTTGCTTTCAGGGAAGGATGGACATTGGCGGCGGAGGGGGGGAGGGGGGGATTTGTATTTTAATTGCTGTGTAAGTAAGGAAAGGGATGGAGTGTGTTTGGAAATATGGAGTGGGACATTTGGCTCAAATGGATTACTTGGAATATTTTTCAAAAAGAAAAGGAAGCAGGCAAGAAATAGGAATTTGGTAAAATCCTTTTTGAGGAATTTCTGTCTGGGGACAATGCCTCAATTGATATTAATACTCATAATCACTAATATTCATTAATATAATTTATGACTTAACAATACTTAATACTGTCACCCAATCCTTTTGTTTCAAATTCTTCCGCATCCTGGACTTATTTAGCTTGATTCATTTGTTCATTTGAACCAACAAAATAGGCCACTTGGTTGATCTCCTGTCCTTTGGGCCCAAAATTGCTTAGCCGCACTAAGCATGGTTACATCTGGTTAGTATTTGGATGGGAGACCAAGAGGAAATGCCAGGGTGGTAAGTTGGAAAAAGCCCCCTGAAGGAAGGAAATGGCAAACTAACTTCGGATTGCATCAAGCCAACAATGAGCACATGAAATCACCTGCTGGTTGGTCAGGCTGGACTCAAGGAAAGTTTACTACCACAGGACTGTCTGCAGGGAGGGGTCAAAAAAGTCCACTTGATTTTGGTGCACATCGCACCATCCTGGGCATCATCCTGACTTTTTTTTTAACCCTACCTGAAGACCTGCAGAGGGAAGTTTAGGAACCGGCTGAGCTGCTCGGCTGGGAGAAGGGTTTCTTATCCGGCCTGAGGAAGCCACTTGGTGAAGGTGAGGCCACGTTCCTGAAACAAGGTGTCCATCTCTTGATGGGCTCATAAAATGGGCATCGATTATTCCAAGAGCCATTCATTATCGCCCAGAATGCTTACTGCAGCAATGGGAAAGGTTAAAAAGGAAAGTGACCTGCTGCCTGCCTGACACAAAGTCATTAGGTAAACGAGGTATTCATACAGGTTAGAACGAAGGTCAGGCGGGTTTTACGGGAAGGCGGAGGATGAATCTCTGCCTTGAGCTTGGGGAGAAGGGTGGGGGGGAAGAGAAGAGCAACAAAGGCAAACACAGCTGACCCTCCCAAATTAACCTCTCCCTCCGGTCCTCGGGAAGAGAGTAGCTAGCCTTATTCTGGCATCTGTCCGCACCACTGTTGGATGTTCGGAAAAGAGGTCCGGTCCTCCGGGCGGGCTCCTGGTCGAGGAGGGTGGGGGAGACTCGGTATCCCCAAGTCCTCTTTCCTCGTTTTATCAAATAAAGAGACGAAACTTGAAGAATCGGCCCCATCCCCGCCGATAATAATCCGTAAGATCAAGAGGAAAAGATGGGGAGAGCGATACTTATTTATGTACATATTTTCCCCACTCTAATTACAGAAATTAATCCTCTTATGGCTAAAATATAAAGTCCCAAACATGTCTTTGATGTTTAATGGCATCATTTGTACCCAACCTGCCAGCCGATTAAGGGATAATTGTTAAATGCTTCGCGTTTTTAAGGGGAGGGGGTGAGGGAGAGTTGGAACCGGGTTTTCCTCTCTGCTCCAAAATCAGGACTGAACCTGGGATAAAATTTGGAGCGGCTGGTTTTTTTCCATGGCCCTTCGTTTGATTCATTCGGCCTGTCGCTGCTGTCCCTTTTCAGTTTATTTTCACAGGAGAATTGTTCTCCAGCCTCCCCCGTTCCCCCATTCAGCGTGCCATAAAGTTTTAAAAGGAGAAATGAGCGAGTTTGTGACTACCACTGCCCTACTTACCAGGGGTTGATTTTCCTCTCTCATACACACATAACAAACAAACAACCAAAAAAGGGGGGGGGGGGGGGGGGGGGAGAACACCTATAAAGCAAGCTCCAGCCGAAACTTAGCGGAGGTTTTTTCCGGGCTTCATTTGGCCCAGTTCTCAATTTGAGATTTCTGGGGAGTTTTTGGATGCCACTGAGTAGAGAGGAAATCATCTGTGGGAACGTGGGAAGACAGAGCAAAGTCAACCAATTGCCTCCTGAAACCCGAACCTTTCCCCCTCCCTTATTCTAAAACACCTGCTTAATTTCCTTCGAAGGAAGGAAGGGTTGTTCGGAGAAAAGAGTCTGTGGAATAAATTACAATCCACACAGCTTCTTTTTGCGAATTCCTGAAAGGGGGGGGGGGGAGAACAAAACATCGCATTACACACATATCATCAGGGAATACTTAAGACCTACAGTCTGGGTGGAGTCAAGTATAGCTTCGGATTTTCTGGCATTTTGGTCTGGGGAGGCTTCGCCGGGCTAAGTCTGCGAAGAAACGCGATCCAAAGTCCCCAAGAACTCAATGAAAAATACCCCCCTCCGCCTCTCCCTTCTCCCGTTAGGCTGAAGACCCGCCGCTTTTCCGCGCAGATCGGCATGTAAAGCGCTCAGCCTCAAAGTCAGCCCGGGGCAGCTTGGAGGCCTGGGGCACGCGCATCCTCCGGAAAGCCTGCGGGCGTTTAGAGACGGCTTGCGCGGAGCCAAGGGAGCTTTTCCGAGTCTCCGTAGGTATCCGGGACTCGGTTGCCCGATGCGTCGCTGCGCCCTGGGCGCTTTGGTTCTGCACAGCGGAGCCGTCGAGCTCAGAGCCATCCGAAGGTGCTGCTTGCCGGCTCGGCCGTTTTGGAACGCGGTTCGGATCTCCTTGCGCAATTCAGGGGACTCGGGTGGCCGAATCCGGCGCGACGCGCCTGGCCTGCCGCAGCCCTTTTTGTGCCGCAGGCGGCGGTTTAAGGCTCCTGCAAGCGGGTGTAAATTGGCTTAGAGCGGTTGGGCTCGAAAGCGACGACCAACTGGATTTCCACCGGCTTGGCGAGGGCTTCCATCGGGCAAGCGGGGAAAGAAAGCGGGACTTCTGCTGGAATAAAAAGCCCGGCATCCTTCGAGGACTTTGCCAGGGTTACTCCGCTTTTCTCTCGGGTAGAAGGCAAAGTTGTGGCAGGCAGTTCGAAGAAAAGTAGGCGATTTTATGTAAATGAGGAACTCCGAAATGTATTACAACCCCGCTGTAATAAACCTGACAGTTTTGACAGTATTGACAACATAAATATACGTTGGAACACTGCACTTTTCAGACACTTAAACCGATGGAAGCAGTAATAAAAAAAAGATTCGACTACAATATTTCAAATAATCGGCATTGATGTTTTGATTCATCATTTTTATACCTCCAATCGATTCTTCCCTCTCTTCTCTTCCCCTCCCCCTCCAGGTGACCGGTCAGTTTTAAGTAAAAACCCATCGTAATTATTTACGCTATTGCCAATGATGACCTAATAACTGTTTTCAATTAATTACGGCAGAGCTTAGCCTCGGCAGGGCCGTCACCAAAAGGCCCTTTCGCAAGTAGCACAAAATCACCAGGATTACTTTCTCCGTGCAGGGCACCGAGGGGGAGATTCATTAAAAAGAAAATGAAAAGTGCAGTCAGGCGACCAGAGTGATGGAGGGAGAAAGAGCTGGACAGGGCCGGCCACCAAGTGTACATTTCTCTCTCTCTCTCTCGTTTTTCTCTCCAGAAACCGCCCGGGTCTTTTCGGAGCCAACTTGCCTTTCCTGAACTAAAACTGACTGGCCCAGTTCAGGCATTTCGTCCCCCCAAATGGGGCTTCCTTTCGGCGGATGGGCCTTGGGCGGGGGTGCCAAAGGAGTCTGTAGGAGATAGGATCCGGTTCTTTCCGGCACGATCCACAACTCCTTTTACGCGCAAGCTTAGGCGGGTCTTCTCCAACGGGAAGCCCATTGAACTGGAACAGACTTTCCTGGCGAGTAAACACGCAAAGCTAATATTCCCTTATTCTATTCCTTTTTGGGCCGACTGGGAGAGCTAGGACCGCTTTTTTTTTTTAATGAATCAAGCAGCCCTTCTGCCGAGCTAGCCTTGTCCTGGGCCCCTTTTTTGCATGCATTTAAGGAAGAGCCCTTTTTCCTTTCCGCTCTCCAAGGACCGGACTTCGGGAAACGAAATTGCGCTGGGATCCTTTCCTTCCTCCAAATCTAGAATACAAAAGACCGGCTGCCCCTTGCCCTCAACCCGAGGAGAAGGTTGCATTTAAGCAAAGCGGGGAGAAAAGGGCGACGGCTGGGGGTCACCTTATGCCACAAGGTCCGGCACTGCCTAGAAGTTAAACGGGTAACAGGGACGGGATTTAATGAGTGCATTTTTTGGTGTCGGAAAAAAATAATCCTAGAATGGATTTTGGGACATTAGAAATTAAACCACATAAGAGGCTGATGATGGTGATGGTGGCCGTGGTGATGAGGATGATATAACGGACACTATTCAGGAGGGGAGGAGAGAGGGAGGAGGGGAGGAAAAAGAAAGCCGCAAAAGCCTGTTTCTAATCTTCTGACATTCTCTGGTTAGTGAACTCTTGGTTTGGAACCAAGCTGAGCATCAGCACCTTCGAAAACGACTTCCAGTTGTGTAGCCATTTACCAGTACAAAGAAGAAGGGGGGGAAAGCGGCCGTCTTGAGGGGCTGGGGAGAAAGCTGAAAGTTTGCTGAAATGGTTGGAGTCCCGCCAGATAGCGCTAGAGGGCTGTTTATTGAAACGCTCCTCCAGTTCAGTGGGATCTTTACAGAATAAACAGGAGAGATAAAGAAGTAAAAGGAAGGAGGAGGAGGGCAGCCCACTCCACAAGTGCCATGTTAATTCCTAGAAGTGTTTGGGAAGTATAATAGAGGGTTGTAAGTGAATAAAGAAGCTGGAGTTCGTGTTGATTTTGAAACAGAAAAGGAAGTGAAGGAAGAAAAAGGGAAAGGGAAAGAGAGGGTCCAAGAAGTAATTTAACGAGAGCTCTCCTAAACCGGCTTTCAAAGAGCCCCAGAGCGCTGGAAGAGAGGTCAGTAAGAGTTCACCTGATGAGTAAGGCTTGACTTTTGGGGAAGGAAAGGATTGGGGTAAAATAAGTCACAAGGTGAGAAAATGAAAGAAAAGCGAGGCAAAGGGAAGGAAAAGACGTATTTCCTACCTGTAGCATTTCAAAAGATACAGGACTGAGTCACTCTACATATAATATATTAATATCTTCATAAATTAAGTATTTTATTCTATACTTATTTTCCGGAGCAGAATAATCTTTGATTGTCTGCAATGCAGGGTGCTGAGGGGGTGGGGCAGGGGAAGGTGGAGAGGAGAAACTAATTACAGAATTTAATTTCTTCCTTTGCAGAAATATGAAAGGAGTCATCAAGCCTAATGAATAGCCCAGTGTAGTCCAGAAACAAAAATATGTGAATTTCAGCTGAAGGCAAAGAATTTGAATATAAGTGGACTAAGTTTTGTTCATGGCGTTCCCTAGTTATCAACTTAGGTTCTTGGATCAGTGTTTAGAGCTAGAATTTGGAGAGAAAGAAAAAGAAAATATCGAAATTTCTTTCCAAATTCAGAAAAAACTAAGAGTGCCTAAGCTTTTAAACAATCCCTGCTTTTGATCTGCTTTGTTTCTTGTCGCTCTATTTTTAGTCATAGTTCAAAGTAAATTATTGAAAAATAGCCACAATTTCCATGAAAAACTAGGGCAGTTCTTCAAATGTTATTTGCTTAATCCAAACGCAAAAGGGGAAAAATCCCTTCATTTGGGCAAACAAACACTGAATAAAGTTACAAACAAGATTACGGGTGAAGTTATTTGTCCTTCTAGTGAGGTGGTGAACTGCTAAGAAATGTAAAAACAGCTTAGAGGATTTAAGCCACACGAATTTAATGAACCTGATTGGTTGCATATACTTTTACACAGAAATTCTAAATTGAGGGTTCCAGAGCGCATCTATTAGACTGTATCAATAGCAGTAAAAAAACAGTACTTTTGGATTTTTATTAATATCTCATCTCAGCCTACTTCCTTCCAAACTCTTTCTATTTACAGGGCACTTCAAAAAAAAAAAAAGCAAATGTGAAATAAAAATGCATATATACTTTCAGAATCAACCGTGTTACCTGTTGGAAGAGTCACCTTTACAAAAGACAGCATCTTTTAAAAATAATAAAAAGGCATCCAAATGGTCAAGATGTTATCATCCTTTGCAATGTCTGGTTGTTCAAAATACACTTTGATTTCCCCCTAGGAAAGAAGAAGCTGGTTGGGAAGTTGGAAGAGATGGTGGATCTCACTGTTTATATTTGCTCTAGCACACTTGCAAAAAGCAAATTGGAGAGGATCTTTAGCCCACTGATTGTCTCTGTATTGTTTTTCTTGAAACGGATCTTTTGCCCTTAATGAATCCTAACACAGCTGGACAGCTCCTTCCCGGACACTGAGAACCCTCACCCCAAACTGACCCCAATTTGACACCACAAGATGAAATTTTACCGCCTGTTAAAACCATTTCCAGCCAAAAGAAAGAAAGAAAGAAAGAAAGAAAGAAAGAAAGAAAGAAAGAAAGAAAGAAAGAAAGAAAAGAAAGAAAGAGAAAGCAAGCAAGAAA